GTTTCGAATTTGAATATGGTAATGGCTTATGACCAACAATGCCTATGCATGTCCACGTTGTATAGACCCCAAAATAACGGCTATATTCGGTATTTTTAAAATTTTAACAGAATTTTTTAAGAATTTTATTTTTTGAAAATTTCCAAATTCGTTGCAAATGGTGGAGGGTATTAAAAGTTCGGCCCGGCCGAACTTACTGCTTTTTAACTTGTTAATATTTATGAATTCCTGGTGTTTAGGTAAGATCTAGACTTTCGACATCTTCTAAGACCTATAGTAAATATTATGACGAACAATTTTCCAAAATATTTTTACTTGCTACGATCCCGTTTAAAGGGAGTTTTGAACCATATTTTGAAAAATGATACTAAAAAGACCCTATTTCTTGGATTGCTTGTGGGTTAAAATATTCAACCAAAATATTCCTCGTATTTTTATCTTTAATATTGCCAAAACTACTATATACCTTAAATGCACGGATTCCTAGGAGTCTTAATTCGAAAATTTCAAAAAATGTTCGGAGGGGAAACACGTCCCCACATTTTTTAATATTTATGAATTCCTGGCGTTTAGGTCAGATCTAGACTTTCGACATTATGGCGAACAATTTTCCAGAATATTTGACTTGCTACGATCCCGTTTAAAGGGAGTTTATAGAACCACATTTTGAAAAAGAGACCAATAATACACCTTTCCTGGCACGCTTATGGGTTAAAATTTTCAACCGAAATATTCCTGGTATTGTTGTCTTTAATATTGCCAAAGCCACTATACTCTTTAAATGGCCGGATTCCAAGGAATCCTTATTCGAAAATTTCAAAAAATGTGCTGGAGGGGGGTATGATCCAGACTTTGATATCTTTTGAGACCTATAGTAAAATATTATGACAAACAATTATTCAGAATATTATAACTTGCTTCGATCCTGTTTAAAGGGAGTTTTTAAGCATATCCTAAAAATGGCCCAAAAAGACCCCTTTGTTGGCTCGCTTGTGGGTTAAAAATTTTAACCCTAATAACACTCGTATTGTTATCTTTAATATTGCCAGAGACACTTTGCACTTTTAATGGCCGGATACCAAGGAATTCTTATTCGAAAATTTCAAAAATGTTGTAGAGGGGGGAAAATGCTCCCTCAATTTAGTTTGCTTTGCCATGCAAATTTTCAAAACGTCGATACACTTGTCTTCTTTTTTTAGCTCTAATTTCATAATCTATTAAATTTTTCTGTAATTATTGATAAAATTGAATTTTGTCGCCCAGTTTTATTGAAACCACGGTCCACCTTTTTTTGCCACAATGGGTGGATACATGCCTGTGTTTGTTCTTGAGGTGGGTTAGGGCGAATCTCTTGCACTGGGATTCTGCGTTACTTTCGCGTAACATTGTTTGTAGTGTTTTTGTTTTTTTTTATTCAATGTTGAGTCAAACATTCAGTAGTTTAGCACGTGACTTATGAGAAAAGCTTCTTATCAGTGGCGCCCAATGCGCATGACAGGATATGCACGATGTCAACAAACATTTCTCGCTCCCTCTCACGGCCAAGGAGCTTTAACATAGCTCCTTACAATGTTAAAGCTTGAACTTTGAAAACTGTGTTTTCTTTAAATTTTAAAAACCAAGCGGAATTTTTATTTTATGTTTCAAACTCAAATATTGTCCTTTTCGCTGATAAATATTGCACAGTTTTGTTAGTCTTTTGTTTTGGTTTTTATATTTCGAGTGCTGTTACTGGGTCAGTAGCATGCAATTCACATTGACTGTGTGTGTTGTGCTGGCCCTTTAGGCTGTGGCTAAAAGCTTTACTAGTCTATGTGCAAGGTTTTCTTAAGGAGCGAAACATTTATGCGACAGTTTGAAACTTGAATCGAGCAGCAAGGACCTCTATCATTTTGCAATACAAGGAAGTAACATATCCATTACACTGCCACCGGTAAAGACATCTTGATAGTCCATTTACCCCAAAAGATAGGAAGCATGAAGTACGTTTGCCTTTTGCGAGGATAAAAGCTTAGAGTTGAAGGTAAAGTGGTAAAGCAAAGGATATGAGTGTAGGGCAGAAGGAATGTCAGTGTTAAAATTTTTGGTAGAAATAGTCCTTGTAAAAATATATTTTTTATAAAATCTGGAGTTTTAATTTTTTCCCCAACCTTAATTTTTATACCCTCACTATATGGCTGGATAAGGTATATAGCATTACCAGATTAGGGCCAAAATGTGCCTCATCGAAACAACGGTTTTAGACACTAGTCTCTTTGGACCAAATTCGTTTCAGAACATTTGGAGCCGATCACGCGATGTTCGTCCATCCGTCTGTCTGGCTGGCTGATACGTACGATAACTCTCAAAGGAGTGTCCGATTTGGCCCAAACTTTATACATCGTAATTTATTATCAAACTTAGATCGAGTTCGAAGAAGGGCAACATCGGTCCACTTCTTCTGGTACCTCTGCCACAAAAGGTGAAATTTCAAAAAATATTTTTCTGCACAGAAAGAGAAAGGAAATCCGATTTTGTTCTAACTTGCAAATTCTAATATTTGTATCAGTGCTAGGTCAAGTGGGAAAGTTGACAATATTGGGTCCACTCCATGAAGGTTTCCACCACAAAGGTCCAAAATTTTGAATAATTATAACCTGATAAAATGTGACGTAAGAATCCGATTGTCTTCATATTTCACACAATATTTTTATTAACCCAAGCTCTGGTGTGGAGATGGAATATATCGGTCCACTCCTTCTGGTACCTCCCCACAAAGGGTCAAAATTTGAATATTCGTGAAGCTCATAAAACGCTAAATTAACATCCGATTCCATTTAATCTTGGTAAATCTCAACATTTCCTTCAACACAAGGTCTGTTATAAAGATGGTAGAGATCGGACCACACCTTCTGGTATCTCCCCCATAGAGTCAAAGTTTTGAATAACTAAAACGATTGTAAAATATGAAATAAGCATCCGGTTCTCTTCATATTTCACACATTACAATATTTTTATTAACACAAGGTCTGTTGTCTGTTGAAGAAGATGGATATACCGGTCCACTCTTTCTGGTATCTCCCTCACAAATGGTTAAAATTTTGAACATCCATGAAGCTCATAAAACGCGACATCCGATTCCATTCAAAGTGGCATATCTCAATATTTCAATCAGCACAAGATATGTTATAAAGATGACAGAGGTCGGACCATTCCTTCCGGTACCTCCACCACAAAGCGTGAAAGTTTGAATAACTAAAAGGTATAAAATCCGAAATGAGCATCCGGTCTTCTTCATATTTCACACATCACAATATTTTTAGGAACCCGAGGTCTGGTGTAAAGATGGGATATATCGATCACCCTTCTGGTACCTCTCTCACAAATGGTTAACATTTTAAATATCCGTAATGCTCATAAAACTCGAAATTAAAATCCGATTCTATTCGATCTGTTATAAAGATTGTAGAGATCGGACAATTCCTTCAGTTACCTCCCCCCATAGGATCAAAGTTTTGAATAACTAAAACGATTATAAAATCCGAAATAAGAATGCGGTTCTCTTCATATTTCACACATCGCAATATTTTTATTAACCCAAGGTCTGGTGAAAAGATGGTATATATCGGTCCACTCCTGGTGGTACCTTCCCCACAAAGGGTCAAAATTTTGAATATTCATGAATTTCATAAAACGCGAAATAATCATCCGATTCTATTTAGACTTGGTACTTCTGAATATTTCCATCAACAGAAGATCTGTTATAAATATAGGAGGGATCGGGTTTTTCTTCTGGTACCTCCCCCACAAAGGATCAAAGTTTTGAATAACTAAAACGATTATAACATCCTAAATAAGAATCCGGTTCTCGTCATATTGCACACATCACATTATTTTATTAGCCCAAGGTCTGGTGTAAAGATGGGATATATTGGTCCACTCCTTGTGGTTCCGCCCCGGAAAGAGTCAAAATTTTGAATATCCTTGAAGCTCATAAAAGGCGAAATTAATATCCGATTCCATTCGAACTTGGCACATCTCAATATTTCTATCAACACAAGAAATTAAGATGGCAGAGATCGGAACATTCCTTTTGTTACCTCCCCCACAAGGGTCAAAGTTTTGAATAACTAAAACGATTATAAAATCCGGAATAAGCATCCGGTTCTCTTCATATTTCACAAATCACAATAGTTTTGTGAACCCAAGGTCTGGTGTAACGATGGAATATATCGGTCCACTGCTTCTGGTACCTCCCCCACAAAGGATCAAAATTGTGAATATGCCTGAAGCTCATAAAACCCGAAATAAACATCCGATTCCCTTCAAACTTGACAAATCTCAATATTTCTATCAAAACAAGATCTGTAATGAAAATTGTAGAGATCGGACCATTCCTCCTAGTACCTCCCCCACAAAGGGTCAAACGATCCCCCACGATTATAAAATTCGAAATAAACATTCGGTTCTCTTCATATTTCGCACATCCCATTACTTCAACTAATACAAGATCAGCTGTGTATATGGGATATATCGATCCACTCCTTCTGGTACCTCCCCCACAAAGAATCAAAATTTTGAATATCCATGAAGCTCATAAAACGGGAAGTTAACATCCGATTCCATTCAGACTTTGTATATCTCATTGTTTTCATCAACACAAGATCGGCTATAAAGATGATACAGATCGGACCATAATTAAAACGATTATAAAATCCGTAATAAGCATCCGGTTCTCTTCATATTTTTTAGTAACCCAAGGTCTAATGTAAAGATGGTAGAGATCGACCAATACTTTTTTACTTGTTTTTCTTTTTTATTTGTAATATTTATTAGCAAATAAAAATAAAAAAAATATTCTTAAAATTTAATAAACGAGTGTTATGAGTCTAAATCCTAAAAAATGTACATTCGTTTCGCATAGCCTCTTTATACAATACAAAAAAAAGTATGGCACCAAATTGCCAATAAATGTGCATTATTCCTCATCCAATTCCATTCGTCTTATCCAATGTCCTTTGTTAACTCTGATCCTTGGCCACATTTTCTTCTTCATTGCCACCACCAGCGCCGGAATTTTCTTCATCAGGATTAGCACTGGATTGATCCACATTTTGATTCTGCAAGAAGTTCAAGAGAGTTACTCATCATTTCATAAAATGTAAGGATTCATAAAAGGGTAGAATGCCGGATACTTACCTTCTTAGTTGGACAATTGGCAAACAGATGATCATCCTGCTTGCATAGATGACAACGTTTGGGCTGGGGTCCTAGATGACACTTCGAGGCAATATGATTGGCAAATTCGCCGCAGTTGTAGCAGCGTACACGTCGATGACGTTTCTTGCTGCGCGGTCGAAATGTACTGCCATGACAATCACTACCTGCAAGGGAGATAGGATTAGATGTTGAAATATTAAAATACGTATTAATTCAATCATACCTTGTATTCAGAGACCCTGGTGGCCTCAAGACCCCTTTCGGTTAAATGACACTCGAATTCGACTTCTTCCTGCTCACCCAGTGAACGGAAGCCGGACATTTGTATTATGCTCTGAAAATTAGAAAATTTTTTTTTGCGAATTTTGGTTAAATATATTGTTGCGAATTCAAATCGAATAGATTGTGGGTAATTTAGATAATTTCTGTTGAATTGTAAGGTAATTTTTTATGGAGTTCCTTTAATCGGTTTATAGCAACTATAAAATTTTTTCCATACTTCTTTCTTTATGTATTAGTCTTAGCTTTGACTGAATCGCTCCAGCTAACTCGTATTTAAGCGTCCTCATCTACACTTGATATCTTTGATATCTTAATCCTGATTGTGGTTATTGTATTTTCTTTCCCATACTTCTTATGTATCATTCTTAGCTTAGACTGACTCGCTCCTGCTCACTCGTATTTATATGTCCTCATCTTCTACACTTGGTAGCTTCGAAAATCTTAATTTATATTGAGGTTGTTTTATTTCTTTCCCATACTTCTTTCATAATGTATCAGTTTTAGCTTAGACTGACTCGCTCCTGTTCACTCGTATTTATATGTCCCCATCTTCTATACTTGGTAGCTTCGAAAATGTTAATCCACATTGTGGTTTTGTATTTTCTTTCCCATAATTCTTTCTTTATGTATCACTCCTGGCTTTGACTGAATCGCTCAAGCTCACTCGCATTTATACATCCCCATCTACACTTAATAGCTTCGAGAATCTTAATTCTGATTGTGCTTATTGTATTTTATTTCCCATAATTCCTTCTTAATGTATCAGTCTTAGATTTGACTGACCCACTCCTACCCACTCGTATTTATACGTCATCTACACTTGGTAGTTTCAAGAATCTTAACCCAGATTGTGGTTGTTGTATATTCTTTCCTACTTCTTTCTTTATGTGTCAGTTTTAGCTTTGAATGACTCGTTCTTACTCACTCGTATTATAAGTGATCATATACACTTGGTAGTTTCGAGAATCTTAATCCAGCATGTTCTGCAATATTCCAATTAAATATAAACAACGTTCATTAAAATAATAATGATGTCATAAATACATTTTTTCTCTCACTCGTATTCATAATAATTTTGCCCTTGTTATTTTCATGTCTTACTTCCTTGTATGTGTGTGTATTTTCGTTGATGAATGGACGTGGTTGCCATGTCATTGTAAATTATGGAACATGCTGGATTAAGATCTCCGAAGCTGCCAAGTGTAAATGAAGTTGTATAATTACGAGTGAGTAGAAGCGAGTCAGTCAATTTAATATTGATTACATCGATGAACTAGAGTGTTTAGTATGTAAATTGAAAACGTATGTGAATTGTCGAAACGTGTATATTTTCTTCATAACCTCCACGATACTATGGAGGGTATCTAACTTTGTCATTCCGTTTGTAATTAATCGAAATACTCATGTCAGACCAAAAAAGGATATATATTTTTGATAATCGTAAAGTTCTACGTCGATTTAGCAATGTCCGTCTGTCACGCTATCTTTCGAACGAATGTTTTCTTATAGCACCTCATAACGGTATTTTGATGATTTTAGCGACATTATAGACCGGAATTATTTCAGCCTGTGACAATTGCGTATGCAGGTCCACGTCTTTGTATAACCCCCATATAACGATACCTCCTGATTCGGTATTTTGATGGTTTTAGCGACATCATTCACCTGAATTGTTTCCAATTTTGTATTCGAAGTTCGTAATTGATCCTACAGCCTGTGACAGAAAATGATCTATGCAGGTCCACGTCTTCGTATAGGCTCCATATAACGATAACTTCTGATATTCGGTATTTTGATGGTTTTAGCGACATTATTTACCGGAATTGTTTTCAAATTGGTATTCGAATTCATAATTGATCCTACAGCCTATGACAGACAATTGTGTTTGCAGGTCCGTGTCTTCGTATAGCCCATATATCACGGTACCTCCTTTTATTCGGTATTTTAATGATGTTAGCGAAATTATTCACTGGAATTGTTTCAAACTTCGTATTTGCAGTTCGTAATGGGTACTACAACCTATGACAGAAAATTATGTAACGATACCTCCCTTTATTCGGTATTTCGATGATATTAGCGACATTATTCACCGAAATTATTTGCATTTCGTATTTGACATTCGGAATTGGTACTGTAGCCAATGACAAAAAAATACTTATGCAGGTCATCGTCTTCGTATAGCCCTCATATAACGATTTCCATTTAAACGATATTTTTGGACGGATTTTTTTTTTTTTAATTTTCAAGTTCCTTCCATATGCTGGAGGATATTAAAAGTTCTTGTTTTCTATTACCAACCTGATGTACGAACACCTCATGGCCTCCATCGTTGGGTGTCAGAAAACCCCATCCCTTGGCCACATTGAACCATTTGCACTTGCCATAACGAACGCCGGCAATTTCATGTGGGGAAATGTCTGAAAAAAAATGGGAAAAAGAAAATATGTGTTAAAAAAAACGAAATAATTTTCAAAATTTGAAATTGAAAGCGAATACGAAAATGTCGCCACAGATCATCATCAATTCTAACTTTTTCTATAGAAAATTTCTTTTTTATCGGTAATGTATTTTCCTAAAGAAACCAGTGATGGCTTCCTATGGAACATTTCCAATATATAAAATATGTAGTAATAACTTCACTGGGCGAAAATATCATTGGTGGTAACTGAAAAGTAGTCTGTGAAGCCTTTTCTTATAGAAAGTGTTAATAGTGGCTCATTTTCTTAAAGAAAATGCTATCAGTGCTGAATTTTCCTGTAGAAGCTTTCATTGAAACTATTATCAGTGATGACTTTTCTTGTAAATATTTAAATAAGAAATAATTTCCACAGTTAATCTGACTTTTCTCGTAAGTTAAGACAGATAAAATTATTGAAAATTGTGACTCTTTATGGATGGGGTACCAGAAGTAGTTCGCAGCATATCATCTTCATAAAAGACCTTATGTTAACAAAAATGTCTGCATGTGCAAATTTGAAGAGAGTTGGATGCTTATTTCGCTTGTTTTGAGCTGTGGTTTTCCAAAATCTTGAAGAAAGGTTCGATCTCTACCATCTCTATAACAGATCTTGTGTTGATGGAAATATTGAGATGTACTAAGTCTGAATGGAATCGGATGCCAATTTCGCGTTTTATGAGCTTCATGGATATTCAAAATGTTGACCTATTGTGGGTGAGGTGCCAAAAGGGATGGACCGATATATCCCATTTTCACAGCGGATCTTGTGTTAGTAGAAATAATTGGATGTGTAAAATATGAAGAGAGCCTGATGCTTATTTCGAATTTTAGAATAATTTTGGTTATTCAAATCTTTAATATTTGTGGGGGAGGTTCTAGAAGGAATGGTCCGATCTGTACCATCTTTACAACAGATCTTGTGTTGATGGAAATATTGAGATATACCAAGTCTAAATGGAATCGGCTCTTAATTTCGCTTTTTATGATCTTCATGGATATTCAAATTTTGACCTTTGTGGGGGAGGTACCAGAAGGAGTGGACCGATTTATACCATCTTCACACCAGACCTTGGGTTAATAAAAATAATGTGTTATATGTATTTTAAGATAATCGGACTCTTACATTTTATAGAGTAATAATTATTCAAAATTTTGACTCTTTGTCGGATTTGCAAAATTGGAGCAAAATCGCATTATCCTTCTCTTTCTGTGCAGTAAAATATTTGTTTGAAAATTTGTGGAGGTTGTACCAGAATGAGTGGACCAACATTGCCCATCTCCAAACTCGATCTAAGTTTGACAATAATATTACGATGTTCCAAGTTTGGACCAAATCGGATGCTCCCTTCAAGAGTTTTTGTGCGCACCAGCCAGACAGACAGACGGATGGACGTACATCGCTAGATGGACTCCAAATTTCTTGAAACGGATTTGGTCCAAAGAGATCTAGGGTCTAAAACCGTTATTTCGATGAGGCGCGGATTGGCCCTTTTCAGCCATATGGCTGAGGGTAAAAAAGTCAGGCCTCAGTTACTATTTTTTTTTTTCAAAAACAAATCAGGTCTCAGATCATGCGCACGAATTTTTTTCTGGAAAAAAGTCAGTCCTTTGTGCCAGCTCCTCAGTTCCTGATGATAAAAATTTTTCAGTCATGGAGGCGAATTTTTTTCCATAGCAAAAAAAGTCTTGAGGATGAAATTTTTCTATAGAAAAAAGTTGATTCTCGATATCTGAGGATAATTTTTTTCTATTAAAAAGTCAGACCTAAGTTCCTGAGGAGAACATTTTTCTATAGGAATAATTAGGTCTCAGTTCCAGGGGACAAAAAAATCAAGAATGAGTTTCCAAGGACGAAATTTATTAGAAAAAAAATCAGTTTCCGAGAAAACATTAGTTCCACGTCAAAAGCCTGAGAAACGCATTTTTATAGAAAACAATTTCGTCCTGACGCCCTTTTCATACGAAAATTTCGTTCTATTCTGAGGATTGAAATGAATACTGAACTGAAAAAAATCAATGCCCAACTCCTGGGGAGGACATTTTTCTCTGAAAGAAATCAAGTCTTAAACCAGAGCAAAATTTTTTTTCTGATTTGAGGACGAATCAATCCTAACATCCTGAAGATGACACTAACATTGTTCTTAAAACCTTATTTCAGGAACGGAAAAAATCAAGGCCTAACTCCTGGGGATGAATTTTTCTATTAAAGATATCAAGTCTTAACATTGGAAAAAGATTTTTTTCTGATTTTTTCCAAGGACGAATCAATTCTCACACCCTGAAAACGACACTAACTCCTTAGTTCTTAAAAAACCTTAGTTCCAGGACAAAAAAATATATATTTGTGTAGCTAGTATTAATTAAAAAGAGATAACCTCAGTTTCTTTATTTTTTATAGAATCAGAATAATCAGGCTGTGTGATGATTTTTTTTTCAGTCTTCAGTTTCTAAGGAAGAATATTTTATAGACAAAAATCGATCCTCACTTGCTGAGATCAATTTTTTTTTATAGAAATCACCTTTTCTGAAGAGATCAATCCTCATGATTTATATAGAAATGTTTTCATGGGTATAGTAATCCGTACTATTCGTCGTCCGAATCTGAAATATTTTTCTAAATGTTGCTAATTACAAATGTAATTCCTAATATTTCAAAACAATACCAACTTCCGAAAACGACGACATTCCTTCTATTTGAATTCCATTAAAATGTTTAAAGATTCATTATCATAATAGCGGAATTGTTCAAACAAAAATGTTTGTCTGCAAATGAACATCGATGTTTCAACATTTTCAAACAATTATCGAGTGAACCTCCACTCCCTCCACTCTGGGATTTAGATGTGTCAGCCGTTTTCAAGAAATGTTTGAACGGCCTATTTTTGATGCGATGTTTGAGTGGTGTCATTTAGATTTTTATCGTTTTCAAGTTTGTGAAAGTTGTATTTTTTTTGTTTGTTGCTTTGATATAAGTTTCGTCGTTTGTATCCCCCCACACACACACGCGGGCACAAACCTTGCTGTCTTTAATATATTTTAATATTGATGGACAGTGAAACCTTCGTCAAATACTACATCTTGCGGTATAAAATTATTTTGGTGAAATGTTCATTTCTCATAAAGTTGAAACCTCTAATAAAGCGTGATTTTTTTGAGGTTAGGATTTTCATGCATTAGTATTTGACGGATCACGTGGGATTTCAGACATGGTGTCAAAGAGAAAGATGCTCAGTATGCTTTGACATTTTATC